GAACGACGGGATGGGGGGGGGGGCTGTTGTGGTCCCAATATTTACGGAAAGTTGTTTCATAAATCAAAACAACTACTTTGCGTATGTTTACTATCAGCAAATGCTAAAGCGTTTATGCACATTGTTGTATATTGGATTCGATGACTTATTTTACAGGGTGCTGGAACACGTTGCTGGAAAAAACGGTCTAACTTCAGGAGTGGCTGAGGGCGCTTGGATAATATATCTCACTATAAGACAGCCAATGAACAGGAAAAGCGATTGAGGATCTAAATTCTTAACTATTCTCCCCAATTTTAAAAAGCGCTTTGGCTCGATCTGAAGAGACAGTTAAAAATCTAGATCTTGTGGAAAATCAGTAAAAGACATGAAAACCCTCAAAAAATTAAATGCATAATTAAAAACATGCGGGAGAGATTCTAAACTGTAATGGGGATAAACAATTGGTGGAGCAAATTGTTTCGCACAAAATTCTGAGTGAGGCAAGGGAGCGTGCAGTATTTTCTCCTGTTTGCAATTTTTTCTGATTGATTTTGTAATCAGCAAGAAACCCTGAAGCTGTGACTGTTGCAAGAATGGAAAACGTCTGAATAAACTCTATTTGCATTTGCAGATGATATGATCTTGCTAAGACACAGATTCAAAGCTGTAACACTAATATTTTTAATACTGCAACAAAGATGTTCTGATTTGGATCTTACAATGAATTTGAAAAGACGAAACTCATGGAAACTGACAGAAAAGCAGATCAATGGCTGCCTTACTCTTGGCAAAAATGTACTTATAGGAAAGGTACGAGAACATAATGTATCTAGGAAGTGCATTGGCTGTGGAAGACGAACGACAAGCTAGGTTAAGAGTTGCTATGATCTGGTAGCAGTAGCCAGCAACAAGTTAAGCAAGCTCTGTAACGGCATAGACGTTGGCTATGGTAGAAAGCTGCGAATATCCTGAGCTTGCTTTCCTATGGTTCGGAAGACAGCCCGTAACAAATCTGACAACATAAAGTTAGAAGAGGTGAAAATGAAGATTTTGAGATCAGTAGTCTGAGTAAAATAGCACAATTTATGTCAAACGCTGTCGTAAGAAAGACATTGGAGTATAGTAACTGACTGGCTGCAAACAGAGCGCTTATGATGGTGGAAGCGAATGGATTATAGCCGGCTTGCGAAATGAATACAAAAAGTAAAACCTAACCGCAAGTGATGCCGAAAATTTCCAGCAAGAAAGCTAAGCATCGAAAGTACTACAAAGACATCGAAAGGTCTGCATAGAGTTACGCATTTATTCGATCTAGATAAAATGCTTGTGCGACACTGGGGAATCGTTTTCGACGAAATGGAATGAGAAGAACTATTGTACAGTAATGATGCGTGAAAAATGCCTTAGGATTTTGCTATTATCCTATTCCAAAGGAACCTTACAATCTGTCAGACGGGCAGATTTGATGAAGCAGCAGCGTACATACTCTTGTGATAAGTATGAATCATATCCTCGCATCCTTCTTTTGTATTTTTAATCATCCTTTCTTTTTGATTGCGCAATTTTGCGTGTAGTCGATGTGGCAACATGTAGCTATTCAGAAATATCCCTGATCATAAAATATCCAAATCGGTAATAGTGTTTAGGCAAGCAATAAGCAGCCAATGCACGATAGATTAAATAGGAGGTATATCAAATGTATCACATTTCACTAGCGTCCACGTATGAACGGGATTTTCCAAGTTCCACTGTTCCGACATCAGCGTACTTTCTTCGAATTCTAGACGCTAAAAGATTATATGACTAGAAATGTTATAAATCATGGTTGTCTTTCTAATCCTGCTTTGTCTTATTTCTGTTCTAAATGCCTAAATGAATAAATATTCTGCTTCGCTATGCAATGCCCCGATTCCAGTGTCAAATAGCGTGAACACGCAATATTTTTGTCACGTTAGTCTACATGCTGCAAAATATGATTCTCTGTGATTCAGGCGATAATGAATTCGGCGCTAAATTATGACAGTTATATTATCTGACATCATACTATGATCCCATAAAGCTGAACTCGGCGCTCGAGTCATGTAGACATAGACTTATGTTAGGCATAACTGTAAGCGCTAAGCAATGCAAAGTGCATTCTGCTTGTTCTTGTGACTTTTGTGAATCCCTTAACATATCAGTGATATCCAAACCAAAATAGATTTCATTGTGTTTATTTTACCGAAGAGCAGGACAACGTGATTAGAAACCAGAACGAAATATGGCTGCCTCTGTCCGCACTGAAGGTAGCATAATTATACTCTTTGTACGACGGATGACAACACTAGGCCGACGGGATCTGCAGTGACGTTGATGCGTTGTGTCCAGAAATTGAGGGGATTAAATATGATTGAGACAAGTTAAGATACGAGGAATATCTTTCGCGAATCTTTCAAATGATGATGATGCTGACCATGTAGGTTCGAATTAGTCCATACCGAATGTAAACTGAAATTAATTGCCGTACCGTCCGCATCGTTCTGAACTGAAATGACTGTGTTTTGCAGTCCAGACCAGTAATGTGTGGTTTTTACCGCATCAGTGCCTCAGCCACAGTATGCAGCGGCACCACTGCATAAACGTAAACATGCAGGGCACAATGTTGAGGCTAGGATATATGGTGGAATCTTACTATCCAACAAAACCCCGGTAATACTGACTTGTACTAATCTGCAAATCAGTTTCAGCCTATGAAGGTATTCACGGATTGCAACTCTGGATGGTAACATACACAAACAGAAATGGAAAGTACCCAAGCTTCTAAGACAGTATTTTATATGAGGAAGATGATCCAACTCTGAGATCCGGTGGAGAGATTTGATGCTACCATTCATCCCACAGAAAACATTGTGACA